CGCAGCCACGTCACATCGGTCTCCTGGTTCTGGCCCTCTCACTGCTGACGCTCATGCTGCTGTCGTCTCTCACCGTCTCTCACGGGTGGGAGACCCCTGTCTCCAGTGTTCCAGCTCTCTCTATCTTTATGATAGTGAGGTCCCTCTCAACACCTATGGGATTAGCCCTTTTATAAACCTACTCCCCCCACCAAGACCACGAACAAACCAATCCCCTCAGTAGGCCACAGTTACCTAATTTGCATAGTAATTGACCAATCCTCACAAGGGTTTTACACATCTTATTTGCATAGTAAACTGTCCAATCTCTTTGCAAGATTGTTGCCTAGCAAATAATCTTGGCAGAACTACAAACCCGGGGCCAGAAAGGCCATCTATAAAGAGAACCTGTTGCACTGCAGGGTCCTAACTGGAACACTGCCCTGACACCTGGGTAAGTCCTCTCATACAGTGAAGACCCACATAATTACCAAGAAAGTATTTGCTTTTTTAGGAGGCTTATCTCTTAACAAGGAGCCCTGGAGGCACCATGATTAAGCGCTTGACTGGTAAACCAAAGGTCAGTGGTTGAAACCCACCAGCCACTCTGCAGGAGAAAAGACCTGGGGATCTGCTCCTAGGTTTCAGCCTAGGAAATCCTATGGGGCAGTTCTGCTGTCATGTAGGGTCACTATGAGTAGGATTGTCTCTATGGCACACAGCAACAACAATCTCTCAACAGACTATAAAGTCCCATAGGCTCCTCTCAGACTTCAGACGCCCGATATACAGTCTCACCCCAACATTCACAATTATACATCAAAGGTTGACAGTTTTATATTTATACATATATTTGTTGTTAGTTGCCATCAGGTCAACTCCGACTCCTGGTGACCCCATGCGTGCAGAGTAGAACTGCGCCATAGGGTTTTCAAGGCTCTGACCTTTCAGAAACAGATCACTGGGCCTGTCTTCTGAGGCGCCCCTGGGTGGGTTCAAACCTCTAACCTTTCAGCCAGTAGTAAAGTGCTTAACCATTGCGCCATCCAGGGACTCCTTATACAAAACACCTCTTTAGAATAAATTCAGCCCAAGGCTACATTATAACCTGAGTCTTAACTCTCTGCCCTTCATTTTCCTCATCTATTATATTTTAATATTTCATAGGATTGTTATGATGCTTACATGTGCATATAGAGTGTGTTGTTGTCAGCTGTCTTCAAGCTGGCCCCCAACTCATGGTAACCCCATGTGTGTCAGAGTAGAACTGTGATCCATAAGGTTTTCGATGGCTGATTTTTCAGAAGTAGATTGCCAGGCCTTTCTTCTGAGGTGCCTCTGGGTGGACCTGAACCTCCAACCTTTCGATTAGCAGCTGAGTGCGTTCACCAAATTCAACATGTACAAAACAAATCAGCCGCTACTTCAGCCCCCGCATCACTACCAGACTTCCCCCTGTGTTTCCTCTCTCTCCCGCTCGCTTCTGCTGCTCTTCACAAGCTGGTCTTTCCATCCGCATGTTTGCCTCAGCTAGTGTCATCTCCATCCGCCCAGTTCCCCAAGCCCGAAATTCGGAAGTCGGTCAAGACATCCCACTCTCATCCGTCACTCATATCTAGAGAATGACCAAGTCCTGTGTCTTTTACAATGAAATATTCCTCAAACCCATCCTCTCTCCTAGTCCCCCTACCCCAAGTTAGAGTCTTCATTGTGTCTCGCTACTTAAACGGTCTCCCAGTTGGCTTCTCTCCAGTCCATCCTCCACGTAGCGGACTTCGTCAGTGGTTTCGTCCTGCAGGGCAGTGTTCAAACTCCTGAGCAGCACAAGAAGCCCTCAACAACCCGGCGCCTGCTCTCTCCCTTACCGCACCTCTCCACCTTTCCCTTCAAAGCTCTAGAGCTGTCACGTTACCGTGGTTCCTTTCACACAGGTGGCGATCGTATACCTCCTTGTCTTTTGTTTATTCCACCCGTTACACAGAGTACTGGTGCAAATAGTAAGGAGTACGGAAGTATGCTCGTCGTCCTCCGTGCCTTGTACCTTTCTTGCTTTTCCTGTTTATCCCTGACAGTGCCTCTCAGGTGTCATCTCCGCTTACAGCTTTCTGTGGCCACCGCCCCCCACCCCACCCCGCATCAGCGGAGCTCATCATGCTCACCTCTATACGACCTCATTCTTAGATGCTGTTAATGCATGTATCACGTTGTGTTTTTATCTTTTTATTAATTACAAAAGTAATATATACTCAGTGTAACAAAGTCAAACAAAAGTGTAATCTTATCCCCCAAATAACCTCTATTAATAATTCAGTTTATATTTTTATTGCAGTCTTTTATTTATGAAAATATGTAGATACATAAATTTAACTATGTACTTGTATACAAATATACTGATAGCTTTGTTTTATTAAAAAATGGGTCATATATAGTCCATATCTCGCTTTTCTAGATTTACATGATGATTTTCTATTCTAGTCAGTACGCAGGAAGGGAGATGGCAGCAGCAGATTCCGTGGTAGACTTT